TGTGGATACTTGCAAAAACAACATCATCTGCAGCAGACAGAGGAAGAAGCGGCATCTCATCAGTTTGAGATGAAGTAAGTGGGTAAGTGGAGAGGCAGGAGAGGTGTGGGGAAGTCTGTGACAGATGGAGGAAAGATAACAGGCAGAGAGGCAGTAAGAAATGTGGGGATGCTGCAAAGAACGCAGCGTGTCTTCTGAATACTTTCTCTTTCTTCGGCATGTTTTTACACGACTCGCTGAAAGACTTGGTCCTTTTGACCCCTGCCTCTCTGTTTCAACAGTAACATATGCCTAATTGACTTCATTAGAGTTGGTGGTGGCTATCAGACGTGATATTCCTGGCCTCCATCCTCCCACACAGTAGCCCCACTAGTCACGATGCCTGCTACTTGAATCACAAAAGCACCGTGTCGCCAGGGAATGGAAAACAATGACGGTCACGACTCAAATATGGAGAAATAAGACTCCCCTGGACGCTCGACGAGGGAAAACACAAAGACGCAGACATTAAAAATGGATGTTGGCACATGCACACACCCACATGCGACCAGATGCATGCACACAATAGGACATTGAAATCCCTCCCTTGCAAAAATAAATAAATAAATCCACCTCTCTCCTGATTGCCCCACAACACACCTTGAATCCCTCCACCCATCCCTCCAGCATCTAACCCTCCCACTGTGCATTTAAGCATCACAAAGGGGATTACACAGGTGCAAAGAAGAAAAAAAAAAAAATACTGCGTGATCAGCTTATTAATGCAATTTTTCAAGGCCAGGATTTACATGAGCGGGGACTGAATGGGCCTTTAGATCAGCATTGTCTTTTCTTCCATACACAATTTGATTTACACATTCAGCAACAAATTAATTTCTGTAGCTTTCATTTAGGTAACAAAAAAAAGCAAATTACCATTCTAAAGAGCAAAGACTCTCTCTCTTAAGCTGCATGCATATAAAAAGCTGTCATTTCAATGGCAGCGAGAAGGACAAGATGAGGGGGGGGAGCTGCGTGCTATTAAAAAGGGGTGGGAGGATCCTATCATATTGACCAACAGACTGACTCAGTCATTTTTCAATTCCTTGCTCTCCCAAATCCTCAATACAATTACTCGCCAATGATTTCCAGTAGTGTCAATCCTGCTGATTAACTAGCATCAAGATAAGGTTGTGTACATGGTGCAGGACTGGAAAGAGAAACATATTGACCACCCGCATTGAGCTGTTTTACACACACACACACACACACTCGTGTACAGGGACACAGGCGTGCACAGGTACTCAGTTTATTGTCTTAAAGCAAACACTATTCTCCAAAATCTGCCTCATCTTTTGTCTTTGTGTCCCCTCCTTCCATCAGCCTTGTATTCCTTCATCTGCGAGTAGCCCAAGCATATGTAGTCATCTCTACAAACACAACTTGTGCAAAGCTCTCCCTTTCCTATTTCCTCCACCTGTCAACCCCCCCCCCCGAGGGAGCCAGAGCGAAGGAAAACGAGGTAAGAGTGACCCCGAGCTGACTCCCCGCAGATTGTCAGATCCTTCCAGTTTGCATCTGTCTGCTCGTAGACGCGATGACAAAACCTCGCCGTAATCCCAGCGTGCCGTTAAAAGCGAGACGAGGAGAAAGAGGGGAAAAGTGCGACAAGAGGTGCTCGTCGTGAGGAAAGTGGAGCAGATATGTAACAGCCTATTCCACCGGGACGGATGGAATGGCGACACGCAGCCCGCGTGCTGGTGTTCAAGGCAGAATTTTTTTTGTCAATCTGCAGAGCTGTTGAAACCTCCACTCCAGCTGGGTCGTGCATTGATTTAAAAAAAAACAAAAAAAAAAACGGTATAGCTGCACTCAACTGGGTGTAGCCTATGGAGGAGAAAAGGGGAGGGCCAAAAAAAAAAACTTGAAGACTGACCCTTCAATCATTGCTGTTTGAGTGTTTGTCAGCTGGGCAGGTTCGGTGCTCATGCTTTAAGACAGGAACAAAGAGGTGGCTGCATGGGGGAAGGGCAATGGGTGGTGGTGGTGGTGGTGGTGGTGGGGGAGGATGGTAAGGGTGATGCCTGCCTGGTTGGCTTTTATTCTAGCATCAATGTGCATCAATGAGCAAATAGTCCCTGTGTGCTGAGAGGGACATATAATCCTTCTCTTTCTGTTAAATACCAGGATCAATAGATGAGGAGCTGATGTCACTGCCTACATGAGCCCAGAAATGGTAAATATTGCCTTCATTTCCTCTTTTCACTGCTCGCCACATAAAGTATACATTCATTTTTTACTACTAGGCTCAGACATTTTTCCTCATTCTCTCATCAGGATCAGAAATCCTCTTAAATATATCCTTTCAATTCTGCTGCGTGTGTGTGTGTGCGCCCATGTATGACTGCAAATATAAGCTGAACACACAACCTCTATTTAGCAGACAGAATGAGAAGAGAGTAGTGCAGGCAACTGTGTTTTGATGGGCTGTCAGGAGGCAGTGGCTTAATACAGCTTAGATGTCATGCAAAAAAAAAAAAAAAAAAAAGTCTAGTGAGATGCCAGAGGAGGAATTAAGGCAGCCAGGATTGTCCTTGCTAAGAAGCCAGCCATCACGGTCAAACCGAGGCAGCTCGCCGGACTTGCAAACCACAGCACATTTAAATTATAGTGCCCTGGGAGAGCTGTTAAGCGGAAACAAGAGAGGGAGAAGGAGGAGAAAGAGGGGGAGAAGAAAAAAAAAAAATCCCATTTCGATAATTGCTGGGGCTCGATTTCCATAAAACATTTTCTCTCTAACTTATGCCGCAAAAGTCCGAAACAGCCCTGGAAGCTGTCGCGTCCTGCCCCCGTTTGTTGGCTAGATATCTGCAGGCTTCTCCAGAATCCTGATAAAGGAGAAGACATGAGGCGATCCGACTTCTTCCACAAATACATACACACACTTCCAGGAAAAGCACCTGATATGGAAATGAGAGCTCACAAAATATTTGAAGGGTGAGGGGTTATTAAGGGTTTAGGGGGTTCATGCCCACTTCCACCCCACATCCCCCCCCGCCCCCCGAGGCTATTTTTGGGTGTTTGGGCATATCAGTTATTGTGTCAGACACTTTTAAGAGCTAAGTGCATTGATTGATTTTTGATAGCCCCAGAGTTCGGGGAGGGAGGAAAGAGAGGAAGTGAGGGAAAGCTTCGAGTTCCTATTTTCTAATCTTACTCAGATCCGTAATCTCCCCACAATCTATATCATTCCATTTTGCTTCATGAATTATAAAGCGGAATCAATTTCTGTAGATATAAACACACTAAAGCAGCTTGGTGCCTTTATTTTAACCTTTTTCCCCGGCTGTCGTTCTCGCTGCGCCCTTTATCCTTTCCATCCTCCACTGTGGGATTAGCATTAGAATAAATGCAAAAAAAAAAAGTAATGTATGTGGTGAGCAGTCCTTAAGAAACAAACCCAAGCATGTGACTCATCTAATGAATCTAGGAGTAATAGGGATCCGTGGCCAGAGAGAAACACAGAGAAAGAAAGGCAGAGTGAGAAACGCGCTCTTCTGGGTCAGCGGTTGAATTATCATCTGCCTCTGGTGAAAATGACAGTCACTCTTGGCTGCCCAGCAAAGGCGTACCACATGATGGGCAAGGCTCGCTTCCAGCCCACTAACACTGTGACACACAACACACATCCAGTAACAGACACGTCCACTTACACACACCTACACACACGCAGTCATCTGCTGTCAGCGCTACGAGACGCAAGCTGAGTTCACACACACAAACAAGGCCAGGATTTCCACCAGCAAAAAAAAAAAAAAAATCATCAACAGGGAATGAAGCCGAAACACCGAAACCGCACTCGGCTATCTGCGAGCCGGCCCACGTCCTCTGATAACAAATGCACTCGTTCACCCGGAAGAACTCGTCGGGACCTCTGCGTCGTTCGCACGCTTAACTCCTTACATCAGCGTTCAGTTTCACCATCTTGTACTGTTTTGACATCAGTCAGCGGCGCATCACTGATGCAGTTACGTACATCTCAGTGTTACCCAACGCTACAAAAGGAAGTTGATCTGAGTCAGTCAGTCAGCTGCAGAGTGTCTCATACGTCACGCTGTCGTCTGTGTGCATTCAGCCTTATCGCCTCTCTGCTTGCTCGGTTTCTCTCTGTGGCCGGCATTTTTTTTCTTTTTTTGTGTGCTCCACTCTCACTATTGATCATTTTGGTGAGTCATGCCACACTGACTCAAATATGTACTGTATTTAAGCAGCGCTACTGAAGTGTTTCACTGTAACTATGGGGTGTAGGCCCCATTCGGGATGTGTGTACTTGTTAGGCTTCCAGGAACCCTATGCTAATACTGAGTGAGAAGGCTGTCATCTGATGATCCAGCACTCTGTTTATGAGTGAGTGAGACTACACTCAATCTCCATGCAGCCACAGCACACTTCCTGGAAACTTGCTAGTGCGTGTGCGTGTATGTGTGTGTATGTGTGTGCATGTGCATGTGTGTGCGCATGTGTGTGCGTGTGTGTGTGTGTGCGTGTCAGAGCATGAACTACAGAAGGAGATTACAGATAAAGGTATAAACAGAAAGGTGGAAGTGAGTGCTGGTCCTCTCAGCAGCTCGCAAATAAGCCTCTCTTGTGTGGTGTTCACCCAGCCTTCCTGCATGCATGCATGCACACACACACAGACACACACATGCACAGTATCACAGATGTTACTAGGATACAGGAGGGTGTTGCTGCTTATTATATCCTAACAGCTCACACTGGATGTCTAGCTCGGCTTGGCTTGTTTAAGAGGCTGAGATTAGACAAGCAAAGAGGCTTGTGCAGCCTGCTCATCTTATCTCTGCCTCTGTCATATCTGGGTGTTGGTCTGTATGTAAGCAAAGCTACAACCTTCTTTACCCGCCATGCAAACACGCACACTGAAGGTCTGAAGCTCAGTTCAGATTGTATGATAATAACTTTACTGCATCCACATTATCTCAGAGACAACCATCAATCCTTACCTGAGTTTCTGTTAGACTCTCCAATGCTTGCATTACTGACTGCTCTGGTCTTGATGCTTGAGACTGCACAGAGAAAAAAAAAAAAACATTAAAATGTATTAAATAAACAGTATTTGTTTTCTTTATTTTCACTCCAAACTACAATCAAACCACAATAGGATGAACCTCACCATTAATCCTGCTTCGACTGTAGGTACAAGTGTTAACTTGCTCCCATCCGAGATGCCTAGATCCTGGAGTTTGCCTGAACTTAGTCGCCTGCAGGGTGAGAGAGTACGAGATAATTAGACTGTGCTGACAATATCTTCTCTCTTCAGACACACAAACACCCTTCAGCCAGGGGGGGCAGACAGACTTCAAAACTAGTTTGGAAAAGAGCCGTGGGTGAAAAGCTCCATGAAAGAGAAGTATTGATTGGGCTGTCATATTTCAATTTCGAGTATAGTGGAGCTTGACAACTGCTCGCAGTGGATATTTGGCACCACTGCCACTTGACTAAGTGGAGGTAAGTATTTTCATTTGGCAACTTCGCTTGTACAAATGAGGAGCAGAAGCTCCATGCTGAAACCAAAACCACAAATCTCTCCAAAAAATTAAAAGAAAAGATAAACAATACCACAAGCAGCTATTATTGGTTTTGCAAGCCTATTGTTCTTAGCGGAGCGTTTTGGCAGCTGTATGAGATTCAGAAGCAAGTTTAACCAGAGAATACATTTCCAGGGCTTTACTATTTAATGTTTGGTGCAGTACAGGATGCCTGCCTCACACTGTCTTTTCATGCAGATCATAATAAACACTCCCATCCATCTCTGGCTCTTAGCTTCCTTTAGGTTAGTGGAGGATGTTCAGGACAGGCGGCTCTACAGGCATGACCCAAATCTCACCCCGTGCAGCTGAACAAAGGCCCTCGGCCCTGACTTGCTGTAGGTCTACAGTTTGAGGCGCAGGAGGGGATTAAAAAGGGGGGTTTCAGGTTTTAAAGGATGATGTGATTTATTGGGTGATTACAAAGGGTGGGAGGGGAAGGGGAGCTGAAAAACAATGCTGACTGTTTTCATGCACTAAAGCCCCCCCATTTTCTTCTTCTTCTTTTCTGCATAACACCACCTGCATTTAACCTGCGCCTGGCTCGTGTGGGAGCCGCCTGATGCTTCAGGGTTTGGTTAGTTTTAAATAATAAAAGGTTTAACTATTCCCTAACCCATGCAGCTTTGAATTAACATGTGATTAAAGCAGCTTAAATCAGCTGAAACTGGTCAGCCAAATACCTCACAGCAAGAAGAGACTGGATATTATCATGTAACTTGGATGCAACCCCCCTTCAGAACAATGTGTGTGCCTGTGCAGCAGCAGAATAAATAAATTATTGGCTTTTGTGTGACTTTACTCATCAATGTGCAGCGTGTTTGATTTGCACAGCATTAGTAATTCAGTCAGGCTTCGGTATTTATACCGAAGGAGGGGATGAATCAATGCAAAGTCTGCAGATCGCCTGGTCAATACCGTTCCAGTGACCGGTGCGTCCCCTATGCGTAATTCCAATACCGTGCGTCCTGATGGTCAGTAAGTTTCCTTGAATGTATTGACGACCAAAAGCAGGCAAGGTTGAGTCTGGAGCTCCCGAGAGCAGAAATCCAAAGCATAGATTGGAAAGAAAATATCCCCTCAGGACCGGAGGGTGAAGTCTGCACATTTCAAACTGCGGAATAACCTAAACATTACGGCCAGTGATGTCAGTGTGGAGCAGCGTCTCCAACACTCGTGCGTAAAAATGCGTTTGCGCGATCATTTCCCTACAGACTTGGAAGTGAACACATTTCAGTAAAATGCATTTGTACTCACGTTTCTTTGTGCAGCAGAGCGAGTCTCTCTTTTGGTACTTTGAGTCTTTGCGACAGTCTCCTCTTCAGTCCCTCCACGGTCTCCTCCAGGGGCAGAGAGAGCTCGAAGCGTGTGCCGGTGGTGGAGTGGATGTAAAGATTCATGGAGGGTTCAGTCGGGACGGCCTCGCAGGACGAAGCCCCGCGACTGGTGCAGCTCCGGGCACTGGGATGCTGGTCCATCCGATAACCTGTGGTCAGGGAAGGGGGCGGGAGGTGGGGAGACAAGACGAGCAGAGCCGGGGATGAAGAGGGTGAGGAGGAGGAAGAGGAGGATGGTGGCGAAGCAGATCCGTCGCTTCGACTACCGTCCCTTGTTCTGCTTGCAAATAATCAAAGGCAGCATTCAGAGAGCTTTTTTCTCTCTTTAGCTCTCGGTGCCTCCTTTTCTCCCTCGCCCTCCGAGAGTCAGAATAAAACCCAGTCCGTCTCCTCTCCGGTCGATATCATGAGAATATTCTTCCCCCAAGGAAAAAATCAACTACACACGCTTTTCCCCCTTTGTTTGATCTTTTCTCTCTTTGTTGCGTTTTCCAGCGTGCAAAGCAAGTCTTCCGAAATGCTACATAGATGGGCACAAAAAAAAAAAAAAGCCAGACAGAAACGCAAGTATGTTGTCAGCAAAAAACGCAACGGACGATCATTGTTTTTACGCAGGCGGTTATCTTTACAAAACAAAAAAAAACTGCGATGTCTAAAAAACAAAAATAAAAAAAAGGATATAAATTCCTCTTGAGTGTTTTAGAAGCTTTAGAGGACGAGAAGAACAACACGGTCCGGAGCTGCAGAAGCCTCATACGGCTAGAAGCGAGAGGCTCTCCGCTGCGCGCTCATGCCCACGGCAGCTCCAGTGAAATATCGACAATGAACATTGTCACAAAGTATCCCACTTCCACCATCGATAAAATACGCCCACAGCCCCGAGGCGGCTCCACCAATCACGGGAGAGCTCCTTCAGGACGCTGCTGATCGTCAGCCAATAGGAGGCTGAGATCTACACCCACGTGGAGGGCAAGCGAGTTTAGGCCATTCATAATAAATTACAGCATAGAACAAAATATGTGGCCCATACCACAGCAGAGGTTCCTAAGCTGAGGTCCGTGTGCCTTTACAGGTCACCAGAGAGTTGAAAGAGGATACACATTCAAAACAAATAAAAAGAATGTTTACTTTTTGCTACTTCCTCTTAATTAATCTTTTTTTTTATGAGCCAAGTCAATCAATAACTAACATTTTCCAAGACTGGCATCTTCCCACTCACTCATCTGTGCCAGGTCACATTAATTTAAAAAAAAATACTGAGGGTCCTCCTGTGTGGGAACTGTGCAACAGGCTCAAAATAGCATCTCCTCATTATAACAACAACTTTAAAAAAAAAAAAACCTAATCTGAGGAGAAATCCACACAGTGTGCACACAGGCTGAGTGCAGTTTAAATCCATGCAATTTTACTTTACATTATCAGTTGTTTCGATCGGGTCTCCTGTTACAGCGGCAGCAACCAGTGTGGATGCAGCTATTTTAAACACTTGGAATAAAGATCAGATCGCTCCACCCTGTAAATCTGAGTTATCAGATGGGGCTGTAATGGCATTAATAGTGCTGACGCCATCCTCTTTCCCCTGGCCTCAGCAACATGCACAAACTATTAGAGTGGATACTATGCAGATTACACAACTGGACGGGAGGAAGGCTGTTCTCTATAGGAAGGAGAATGCCAGTACATCCAGCATAACGCAGCACATGTGGCAGTGAACAGATGAATCCGGTGTGTGACTTGATATTTTCCAAGAAGTTGAATCAGTGCTGCACAAGCGTTTGTTTTCCACTCTGAGGTGACCAGTAAATGTCAGCAAGAACTAATCAGTGCAACGTAGGAACGAGACAGGGGCGCATTCAAAACAGCAGAAAGCCTGGGAGGCATCTGAAGCCTCCACAGTTCACCTCCACAGACTCTTCAACCTTTAAATGGGCTTTAACTCGAAGAAAAAGATACTCGGTCGCCACCCAGTGGTTACAGAACGAACCTTCACAATCAAAACTTGCAAGTTGTTCTTGCTTTTATACTGTAATATTTACACCGTGCACGTATTTATCCAAAATAACCAACCTGCTCGTGCGTCAGGCTCGAGTTTACATGATACAGAGCATCAATGCTACAGTAAAATATCATTTATTAGGTTGTTATTGTCCTTCTGGAGAGACATTATCAGCTTACTGTCATCTGCTAATTATAATTTACAGTAACAGTGACATTCTAGTGTTGTCGATAAAGGCCTCCGGAATTTACATGCAAGGTGGCACATTTACGCAGCTGACAGGCTTTAATCGATCCGCTATTGACTAATCAATTTCCTGCCCACCAACACAACAAACGCTTACCAACATCACCCCTCGCATGCTGATGAGATTTGATTAAAAATATTAAAAGTAAACTCACCAATTACTGTGGCGAAAACTCTAAAGCTTCGCGTAAAAGTCGCTTGTGTTCCAGTCCCCAGCTTCGGTGTGTGAAGTAAACCCAGATAGTAATAATGAAAAACAAAAAAAAAAATCTCTGAGTGTAAATCCAAACACTTATACGTCCACAGTAAATTCTCAGTTTTTAAAAATAAAAAATGAAAAACAAAAAAATCTCTGACGGATCCGTGCGCGTCCGGAGCGCGTCGTTACGCACCAGAGCTCCGGTGGGCCAATAAGGAGCAGCAGTTATGTCCCAAGATGCCTCCGCGTGGTTTTGACGGTGCACCGGCGTCTTTCTCGGTGATAAGAACGTAGTCTGGGAAGGTGAGACTCTTTAACTGACTCTTCTCGGATATGGGTGGAGAGTAGCGTTCTTGTTATGTCAGCATGTGATTTAAGGTGGCCTCGCTTCACCCGGTTACCGCCTCTCGAGTCCAGCGTGTTCTGCTCGCTGGGAAAGAATGCGCCTACGCACAGCCGGTAGCATAAAGGTTCCCGAAGTGTGTCAACTGTGTGTCCGTAACAGAAGAGGGGTTTCTAATGGTCACACATGCCTGCAGAGAAACCGAACACCGGCTGCCACCTTAAGAGAAAGTCAATGAAACGAGCGCTTTGGCGATATCAGGGGTGTTGCCAGTGTTTGACGACGTAAAGAAAAATGTCACCGGGCAACAGCGCAGGTAAACAGGCTCCATGGATACAGGAGCTGAAGAGCCATAAACAAAAACTTCACTGGCACCATGTAAATCGGTTTTCCGGGGAATAATGCACCTCTGATGTTACACCTGTTTAATCAAATGTAGCCAAAGTGGAAATTCAATTAAATTCAGTTTAATTAAGTTCAATTGAATTCAATATGCTTTAGTGGCGTCAATATTATGTTAACCATATTTACAATTTCGTATGAAATAAAATCTATTACAAGCAAAAGTAGGCATTTATACCATTGCTGGTTAAATGTATTTTCAGTTTTAATGGTAATAAAAGTCATTATGCAGAGCAGCTTCCTTCATAATTCTACCTTATTAAGTCTTATGCAACCTCTTTGTTATACTGATCCACTAACCTATTTACATATTGTCTCAGAGTTTCACCTCCCAACAATACATTCTAATTTTAAATACGTCATAAACTGCAAAAATTTGAATCTGCCCCAGAATTGCTTCCAAGTAAAAATTTTAAAAGTACAAAGTACACTGTTAAAAAAAAAAAGTAAAAATGTATAAGCCAAGCAAAAAAAAAAAAAAAACACATGCAAAATGATCATTTTGAAATCTTGAAATCATAAATTTAAATACAGTAAACAAAAAAATAATATAAAAAAAAAAATCAATTTTAAAGTCACACACTGTAAAAAAAAAAAAAAAAAAAAGAAGTAAAAATACAGATTTTTATGTGGATATTATTTATAGTTTCACATGTTTTTGTTTGTTTATTCATTTACAGTAAATGTCAAAAAATATTCTGTGATTTTACTAGATAATATTTGTAATTTAACTAATCAGAGAAAATATGTAAAATAACAGTTAAAATATTATTTAATTTTTTTAACATTGATTATTTTTTTTCTTTTACATTATGTGAAATATCTGTAAAAAAAATAAATATTTTTAGCTGATTTGAATGCAGTAAAAAAAAAGAATACATTTTATGGTCATACATTGTAAAAGAAAAAAAAACTATTTGTAAAATTATAGATCTTTGGTGTTGACATTATTTACAATTTTGGCCATTTTTTTAAAAAAAAACATGTAAATTAATACTTTTCTTACTTTTCTCCATGATTTTATTAGATAGTATTCTAGATAGATTTTCTAGGTATTATTTGTAATTTAAGAAAACAGACAAATTTGTTAAAAATTAATAGCTACAAATATTATTTACCATTTTTCAAGCCTTAGTTACTTTTTTATTTTTCTAAAATAATGACATTGTTTACTGATTTAAATACAGTAAGGTGTGGTGTAATGCTACAGTCAAACACTGTAAAAGAAGGAATTAACATTTGTAAAAACACAGAGTTTTAATTTGGATGTTTACACTCTTCACCTGTTTTCATTTTAACAAATACAGAAAAATCTGACTAAAGTTTAAAACTTTATTTTTTACAGTGTGCAGCTTCTGCCTCTGAAATGACAAGTAGGCCAAATTTGCTCTAAGTGCTCGAGCAAATGTACTTTCCAGCTGTGAATGCTGATATTCTGAGGCCTGTGCAGTGATTAAGCCCATGCAAGTCAGAAATGCGATTATCATCACAATAAGGTTCACCTCAAGGACACGAGGGGATGTTGTGCAATGTGTCCTGACTCTGCCTTCAGAAATCGCCAACATGCACCAGCCAAGAACCGTCCTTCCTCTCCTTCGCCTCAGGACCAGCACAGACTGTCTGTCTGATTACAGAGACACACTCCTCCCCACTGTGCAGGGGACGCTGTGCCCCACCAGCATATTATCGCACTGTCTGAGAACTGAATCATCCTCATCTCAGTGTGTATGTGCGTGTGAGGCAGATAGAGGAGACAGTGTGCCTTCTAAAGAAACATTGGCGTTATCTCACAGAGGCTGCACCAGCAGACAAAGGTGCCTGTCTTCCCTTAGCCTCAGCTTCTCCCTGGTTTTTTTCCTCCTTATCTGTCTCCATCGTTTTCTCTGGGAGATGCTGACTCAGTGGAACAAAGTGAAAGGAGTTGGTTAAACCCTTTTTGTTCGAGTCAAACGCCGCGTTCCGTAGCTTGTTTTGACGCTTGTCACGCTGGCAGGAGCACATTACGGGATCTGTGAGACTTTTTTTGTCGGAGCTAATGCGCGGTGATGTTTGTCAGTCCGGCCGCTTGAGACTCGAGTTCTTCTTTCAGGCGTGAGATTGGCTCGGCTGTGCTCGTCAACAGGTCTGGCTGTCAACACAGCTCTGGTCATGCAGAACACTCTGACCTCGTTTGCCCAAATTAGACCTTTCAGTTGAGCTGACATCTTTTGTGGCAAAGGTGCAGCTCTCGGTACGTGTAATCCTCATCTCGGCATTGTTTGGTTTCTTTTTTAGCAAAGTTAAGGGCTTTTTCTTTCTTTCTTTTGTCCTTTCACTGTGTCATTTGTTTTAATTCGAGCTGGTGCACCAAGTCCCTCCATTCTATCTGGGCTAATATGACAAATCACAATGTGATTAAGTACAAAAATTGCATTAATGCACAAATTCATCATCACGCAGCCCCGAAAGCCAACTGTGCTTCACTGTACGCCGCATGTTGCAGTAGGATGCACACGGATGAGCCCGTGATGAAGGATGCAGGAGCAACCCCCCACATGCAGCCATCTACATGATAATGCATCACGCATACTTCTGGGAAGAGTTTATTGACAGGGGAGGAAGGCCGTGTGGGCGGGTCGTAAACATTTCACATCGAATATCAGATCTGGTGGGACAGAGCAGCCTGTGTG